GATGTTCACTGCACTGGGAGGCTGCCTGGGAGGCTCCTTGATATGGGTGGTCTAGGGTTTAAGGTTTAGGGTTTCCGAAAATAGGGGTACCTTAATTCATGGGATCCTTGTCATAAGGGAGTCCTACTGTTTTGGGGGGTCTATATTAGGGGTCCTTACTTTCGTAAACCCCCCAAGCGCTATCACACTTGAAGAGACGTGAGGTCTTTTCTCCACTTAGAACCTATATCGTCTTGGGTTTTATATGAACAAAAATGATTCCCAAGGGGGATATAGAGGTGTATAGCACTGTGAGCTTCCAGTTGCAGGCGCGACTTCCCGAAACCGGCGAGGTCGTCTGTGATCTTGGTGTAGGGGAAGCTCGCTGCACTTACATGTTGGATACCCGAAACCCTAACCCTAAACCCTAAACCCTAAACCCTAAACCCTAAACCCTAAACCCTAAACCCTAAACCCTAAACCCTAAACCCTAAGCCCTAAGCCCTAAGCCCAAAGCCCAAAGCCAACACAACCGGGCTCCACACGGCTTGCTCAACATGTGAGAGGCTGCTGCTGGCCTGCTGGCGAAGGCTTGATTCTGAGGGCTTCGGGGGCCTTCAGGGTTTAGGGTTTAGGGTTTAGGGTTTAGGGTTGAATTAGGGTTTAATCACCTGCTTAGGGAACAACTCCTGGACAATTAGTCAAGTCAGTAGGTTCCACGATGCAGGAGTGTCGAGTGGTGCCCTCCGCACAGGCACACAAGGCACTTACTCATGAAACTGAAGCCAAACGAAATCCGGTGAAGATTGAGCCCGGCAGATTCATCCGAATAACCCAACCTCCCAACGCTCTCACCCAAGCCCCAGCAAGTTGTATCATCACATCCGGCTTGACAGGCAAACCTCGTTTCAGAGCAGGCTGTTCAGCTACAACATGGAGGGTTTCCAAAAAAAGGGGTACCCCTTAAACAGGGCTCTTGGAGGGGTCAAAGCGTGTTGGGTGAATTTTGGGGCTACCCCTGCGTTGGGAAATGCCCCCCATTTCCTGACATCCTCTACAAACGGGACACGTGGGTGAAACATGATCAAAGCTATGAATTCTCTGGGCAGCGCTTTTGCCAAAACTAAACCCGAAGCCCGATATCAAGGGCCCAGATGCAGAGTTTTCTGTTTCAGGGAGAACGCGTATTGACGGCTTACCTTCATTTCATGTCACCATGCGTACCTGGAGGGGGGGAGGTGTCTTGGTCATCGTATCTATTGGCAGACCCTAAACCCTAAACCCTACACCCTACACCCTACACCCTAAACCCTACACCCTAAACCCTAAACCCTAACCCTAAACCCTAAACCCTAATTGCTGAGGCTGCCACTCATTCAGACTTGCTTCCGGTCATGAGCACTGCCCGTTTTGGAATGACGCCACTGCAGGGTAGAGCGAGCGATTCAAGGAGAACAAAACTTCCAAGGCGAAGCTCGCCAAACAAGCTGATGTCTTTGAAAAGCCCGGGCGGGTTGGGCGGGGCGCTTTTCGCACCTACACCCTTGTGAAAGGCTACATGGCAAAAGCTTGGTCAACATGACGGCATTGGACGAATGCACAGCTGCGCGTCTTCATGTCCTGTGCACCTGCAACTTACGCCTGTTGTCGGTGCTTGGAACGTTCGCTGCAGCAATATCCCCTCATTGCTGAGGCTGCCACTCATTCAGACTTGCTTCCGGTCATGAGCACTGCCCGTTTTGGAATGACGCCACTGCAGGGTAGAGCGAGCGATTCAAGGAGAACAAAACTTCCAAGGCGAAGCTCGCCAAACAAGCTGATGTCTTTGAAAAGCCCAAATACCCCGCACTGGTGTAAGCGAAGCGTCGCCGCAGAAAAAGATCGGAAAGTGACATGCAGAGCCCAGAACTCCAGAGAGAAGTGTAGGCCAAAGCCGGGGCCTCAGGTCCACTCCCTGGCTGGGCCACAAAGGCCACGACTGGAGCAGATCGTGGAAGCCCACCCCCGCAGCAGCAGCAAACAGCCTCTCCTGCAGCTGCCCGAAGGCCTGCCTGGTCAGAAATTCCAGAAGCAGGCTCGGTTACATGCCCGGCTGCCACGGGTAGGGCGACAGTGGCGCCAAGAATTCGCGAATTGTTGCATCTATGCAGAACTGATCCGAAGACTGGCAGCGTCGTCCTCTCCTGAGTTTCCGTCCCCGGGATGGGGCGTCCGCGGGGTTTGACTCAGAAGGAATATAGACGATTCTGGGAAGGATGTCAGCAGCGAGCGTGTAGGCAGCTGCGCTTCGCAGGATCTTGAGGAAAGCGCGCACAGAACTGCGGCCCTTGGCGGCCGCACCCACCACAGCTTTTGCATCGACCAGAAAAGGGATCTTCCGATGGTGTCGTCGCGGATGTCTTGCTGCCCACTTCAAGCCAAGCATGTAGCCGTGCATCTCGAGTACCCCGGAGTGCCCTGGCCATCTCGCACGACAAGAGACCACTGTTTTGAAATCTTGTTGCTTGATAGGAAGGCGCCTTGGCTTTCCTAGCCTGGGAACTTCAACTGGGTCGCTTGCTGAGGTAGTGAGGCGCACGAAATCACCCCGGCGTTCTGCCATATTGCACACCTGAAAAGCATCCAGCTGCGAGCACTCTGCTGCGCAGACACCAAACCCATATTCGGGACAGGCATCTGTAGCCACAAGCGTACTCAGAGGTCGGCGATCCAGGCCAGCTGTGAGCAGAGGCGCGAGCAGCAGGGTTGTCAAGAACTCGTTGAGGACCTTGTCGGGCACTGCAGCGGTTTGGTGTTCAGGGGTCTTCCTGCTGAAGCTGTAGACAGCGTCGTAGATGCTGAACATGCTTCGTTGCAGAAGTACAAACCACTCCCAAACACCTAGCAACCTAAGAATCCCCCTAGGACTAGCATTCGGATTATGCAAAAGATCTAAGGTCCGGCCGACAACTTGGCAGAGACGTGCTATCCCAGGCTCAGCGACTGGAGGGCTGGCGCACAGATCACACCCCAAAGCAGTAATGCTGGAGGCCAAGGTGACGTCCTTCTTGACATTTCGCGGTATGCCGTTGTCCAGGAAAGCCGCGTCGAGGTTGCTTAGCGTCTGCATTCCCAGCTTGCAGTCGCGGTGCACAAGGACTGTGTCATCCGTGGCAACGAAAACTAGTTCCTGCTGTTGCTGCGGCGGGCCATGGTCTGGGCTGAGAATTGACTCTTCCCGGATGCCAGCGCGGGCACAGACCGCTAGCGTTGTGTCCTGCGCCACAGCTGACGACCATGAGAATCCCATGGGCCAGACCACGTTTGCTGGATACAACCACATATCAGCTTTAACATCTCTCGAGGGCAAGTCGTCGCAAAGCGAAAAGATGGTTTCCAAGCTCATACCCGCCTCAACCAGCTCTCGTACTTGCACAGCAGGTTGCCCGAACCATTTCTGCAGCGCTTTCGGCACTTTCAGCGCATCGAAAAACGTCGCAGCATCTCGTTTGGAGAAGTAGAGCCTCTCCCCAGCTGAAGCGTCCACGTCAAGGAAGCAGGAAGGGTTAGCCAGCCGCCTTGGCTTTGGCGGCACCTGCGCCAACTGGGAAACAGAAGCTCCGTTCCAAATTTTCCGCTGACGGCCGCCTGACTTTCCAGCCGCGAAGATGCCGGCAACGGCCTCCACCTCCGGACGAAGGCGCAGCTTGCCACAGTTGAGCTCTCGCACAGTGAGCTGGATGTACTCGTCCCGCTCAGCTTTTGAAAAGAAGGGGTCTCCCTCGTCTTGGCTTTTCGGAACCTCCGGGAAGACCTGCGAATCATCAGCAATGGCTGCTGCAAGCTCCTGTGAGATCAGGTCCAGTGGCTCGCAAGTGGCCGCAGTAGCCGGCAGGTCAACGTCAGCAGCGCGTATACCTTGGTAGACGTTTGTCGACGACTCTTCGAAGATGTGGAAACTGTTGCGCCAATCGAGTTGGGACCCTAGCTCACCATTCAAACGGCCAAGAAAGCGGGCAACTCGACCAGCCACATGGTGCTGAACAGAAAGTTGCGCAGCAGTAGGTTTGGTGGGCACAGCCTCCCATTTGCATGTTGGCTTGAGGCCTTGCTCCAAACTGTTCAGCGCAGCCAAACACATGTTTGCAACCTGCAGGCAACAAGCCGTGTCCACGGTGTCACTATCCACTTGGCTCGGCCAGCTCTCAAGTCTGGGCAGCGGGAAAAGGTCTCTGCTACGGCAGCTCGGGGAAGTAGGCTTGTGTGCAAGCCAGCTTCGCCAACAAGAAGCCACACTGAGGCTTGAGGTCGCCATGTACTCTGTCAGGACACAGCAAAAACTCTCAGCAGCAGACACCGTCGGCTCTTGTTTGGGCGCTGTTACATTAGAACTCTGTCGAAGCCCACATGAGCTCAAGGCTTTCACCACCGCGAGTCGCAGCAAGTGTCGCAGCATGCGACGTTTGTTGCGGTGCTGTCTGGCTTTGGAGCTAGTGCGTTCTGCAATGAACTTGGTACCAGCACTGGCAGCAGTCATATCCAATCCCGTAGGCGGCAAACCACAACCAGATTAGGACTCAGAAGCCCAACACAGGCGGGATATACAGCATGGCGCTTTTCGCACCTACACCCTTGTGAAAGGCTACATGGCAAAAGCTTGGTCAACATGACGGCATTGGACGAATGCACAGCTGCGCGTCTTCATGTCCTGTGCACCTGCAACTTACGCCTGTTGTCGGTGCTTGGAACGTTCGCTGCAGCAATATCCCCTCAACCCTAAACCCTAAACCCTGGAGCTGAGGCGCAAGCCAGAGAACCCTAATTTACACCACTGGCTGATTCACCAGGGCTGCCACTCCAGCCTGATGTTTAGGGTTTAGGGTTTAGGGTTTAGGGGTTTACGAAAAGGGGGGACCCCTAATATAGACCCCCAAGTAGTAGAATCCCCTCATAATGCGGACAACAAAAAGGTACCCCCGATATCGTACCACCCCCCCATTTTTGATTTATGTCAGCGTCTCTTGCTTCGCAAGAGCGCACGGTTAGCCCTTCAGATGCTGCGCTTTCAGCGCGTCGTGGTCCCTCTTCTCGATCATGTGCACACCGAAGCACCAGTCGATGAACTCCTGCAAGAAGACGTGGGACATTCAGGGCCGGCCCAGCACGTCTAAAGAGCCCTAAACCCCATACCCCAAACCCTAAAACAAAATTTGTTCCCAAACATCTAGGTAACGCCACGTGCTATTCAACGCAGACGACCTCGGGCCCCAGAATTCAGGTTTAGGAATTTAGGGTTTAGGGTTACGGGTTTAGGGTTTAGGCTGTGGAGAGGGCTGAGGGTTTTAATTGGGGTCAGGCTATTTAGGGTTTCTGGAGTTTGTGGGTTGAGGGTTTAGGGCGTGTAGGGTGCCATTTTCAGCAGGTGGTCAACATGGGCCATGGGTCGTATGCCCCAAGCCCTAAGCCCTAAGCCCAAAACCCTAAACCCTCGCCCTAAACCCTAAACCCTAAACCCTACACCCCTAAACAATGAGGGCACACACAGGAAAAGACTCGGTCCGACATGTTGAGCCGGCCATCTGCGTCGGCATCGACCGCTTCGAAAAGCTGATCCTTGTTTGAAGCAGGATTTAGGGCTTGGATGGGTTTAGGTTCAGGGTTCAGGGTCTAGGGTTTAGGGTTAAGGGTTGAGGGTTTAGGGTTAGCGTTCAGGATTCAGAGTTTTCGACTCACTGCGGAGGGAAAGGTGACCCAGTGCATCAAGCCGGCTCAGTTGCAGCAATGTAGGGTTTAGTAGTGTGGGAAACTGAAGACTTCCAGCTGCTAGAACACGTCCTTACTGCTGTTCAGCCGGGAATCTCGGGACTTAGATCTCCTTTATATCGCTTGCTAGCATTGGCGGAATCTATGGCGCTTTGTTCTCCATGCTCATGACGAAGAACCAAAACCCTAAACCTTAAACCCTAAACCCTCTCTCTCTCTCTCAACCCTAAACCCTAAAACCGAAAACCGAAACCGCAGCTCTAGGATTTCGGGTGGGGGACTCCTCGCGGGCCTAGGAGAGATGTACCTCCCGCTGGGGCCCAGCCAAACTAACGACCTGAAGAGGCGCAAGACCTTTACGAGTGAAGAACTTACTACAAGGCAGATATTTTTAATTTTATTGATACATAGAATAACAATAATCAGAGTCAGAAAATTAGAGGTACACAAATATTTGTATATGTACATATATATATATATGTATATCTGTGTGTGTGTGTGTGTGTGTGTGTGTTTTTGTTTGTTTGTGGGTGTGTGGGTGTGTGGGTGTGTGGGTGTGTGGGTGTGTGTGGGTGTGTGGGTGTGTAACTAGCATTCCATCTGCCACATCCTGCCCTTTTTTGTCCTGCATCCTGACCAAGACCAGCATGAGTAATTTTCCCCATTCCCCCTGAATAAAGCTATTATACACCCTGTATAAACAGCCCTTATTTCAAATTTGGGCCCCCTATTCCCCGAACATCAGGAAAGCAAGGTTCGATCTCCGCATCCGTCATGATGTTGGGGAGGACTTCCGCCAGCGAGTGGAACATCGCTTTGGCCCTTGTGTTGGCAAAAAGGTTTAGGGTTTAGGGTTTAGGGTCTATCCTTTGGAAGATATGGGGTACTTCTCTAAACTAGGGTCCTTCTTGGGTCCTTATGGGAAGGGGCCCGAATTTCGAGAACTACCCATATGATACACCAGCAAGTATACATACTAGACATACAGCGGCTGCTTCACTTAGTGTCGGCTCCTGCATGCATACGGCTGTCTGCCTCCAGCGGAGTGTCGTTTAGGGGTTAGGGCCTTGCTCCGTTCAAGAACAAGGCCGGATTGCAGGACCAGCGAAGATCGAAGGCGAGGAGGCATGCCGAGCAAGTTAAAAAGCACCCTAAACCCTAAACCCTAAACCCTAAACCCTAAACCCTAAACCCTAAATACTAACTATTCCGACCCCTTTAGTAGCTGGAGAGTAGAGGCAGGCATAAGAGCGGCGTTGAAGGACGAGGAAGCGTAGGAAGCGGAGGTTTTCGGAATGGCATGGCCTATTTTCCGCTTGAAAACCTATTGGAGCGGCAAACCCTGAGCCCTAACCCTAAACCCTAAACCCTAAACCCTAAACCTGGTCAGAAGGCCCTGAGCTCCTGGCCCAAGAACCTAGGACGAGGTACCCCACCACTGAAACTAGGCTCAGGATTTAGGGTTTAGGGTTTAGGGTTCAGGGTTTAGGATTCAGGGTTTTAGGGTTCAGGATTTAGGGTTTAGGGTTCAGGGTATAGGGTTTCTTGGCACCCGCATAGCTGGACGTTTAGGGTTTAGGGTTTATCCCCTGCAACTTCTGCCAGGATAGTTTAGTTACCTGAGGCCCCCAAGCCCTACCCAACACATATGAAAACTTGTAGGAAGACAAACCCAAAACCCAAAACCCTAAACCCTAAACAGGCCTCAGGGGTGTGAAAGCAGAAGCAAGATGTCAAAACCTACCATCTGGGGGCCACTGAGTGGCTCAGCTTTGTCCAGGAACCCATCCTTGTTTGCGTCCGCCTGGGCACATGTGCTTGGCGGTTCATGGTACCTTATTAACCAAGTATAGACGTTCTTATAACCCACTCAGAAGGCCCCCTTAAGTTCCCCATGAAGGATTATAAGTGCAGTTATAAGTGCTGTTATAAACCTCCAAGTAGGGTTTGATGATTCATAAAACTGCCGATGCAGGTCGTCGTCTCAGGGCTTTGTCGCCCGTTTGGTGTCCAGTGTGCCGGGACGGGTGCGGATGTGGGATGCATGTCTGGCATGTGCTTGGTCTTTAGGGTTTAGGGTTTAGGGTTTAGGGTTCAGGGTTTAGGGTTTAGGGTTTAGGGTTTAGGTTTCAGGATTCAGGGTTAAGGGTTTAGGGCCCAGAGCGCAGGGACCGTACACTTGAAGATACGTGTCAGAAGCTACCAATCCGCAACTGGGCCTCCTGCGTCAGGCAAGGTACGTGCAGGGAGCCACATTACGCGGAGCCGCATTGCAAGATGATGCAAGAGAGCCGAGCTACTAGCCCTAAACCCTAAACCCTAAACCCTAAACCCGAAACCCGAAACCCTAAACCCTAAACCCTAAACCCTAAACCCTAAACCGCTCTCAGCTTGACCGTCGTCCAGGCCTTCTTGAAAGCGAGCTTCACCTCATCGATGGACAGCGGCACCAGCTGGCTCAGCGGCATGTCGCCATCGCCCTGGTTTAGGGTTTAGGGTTTAGGGTTTAGGGTTAACCCCTTAACGATTTGAGGCTTTTCTTTCTGGGGGGCGAATCCTGTACAGTATATGCATGATATTTATGTAGAACTACATGTGTTGCAAATGATTTAAGACACCATGCCTTAAAAGCCTAGTCGGGGGGGCGACTGAAAGACCCAAGAACTGTAGCCCAAGCGTACACATTCCATCTCAAACCCTACAGGGTTGAGGTTCGTATCGACGCCACCGGCGGTGGATCACACATATCACTTTCGACACGAAAAAACCCCCTATCAACCCGGAATGGGCCTCATGTTAAGCGAAGACCTAGGGGCCACATGAACCATCCAATTCGGATCATGCGCGCTGCGCTACTATAATCCGAACGCGGTGTAGGTCTAGGGCTATAGAGTTTAGGGTTTAGGGTTGAAGGTCCACCTCCGGAATGCGTTCCGTCCCGACGCACAGGACCACCTGGGCATGGGTTTTCCTTGCGGGCACACGGGGATCGACGAGCCCCCTGAAACGTCAAAGACTCGAAAACCCTATAAGGCCCCAAATAAGGTTCAGAGTTTATGGTTTCAGGTTTGGTGGTTGTGACAGGGTTCCTTTAAGCACTCAAAGCATACGCAGCATTTTCCACGTTCACGGAATCGTATGTGAATGGGGGGGGATACCCTTTCTCTAAGGCGACGGGGCGTTCAAAATCTAGAGTCTAGAGGTCAGGATTACCAAGCCTAAACAAAGCCGAAATCCTCGTGTGCTGCGGGGTTTGAAGCCCGTTAAATCAGCCAGAGCGCGTTGTGCACGTCCTCTGGGTCGAGCGCTTTCTTGATTTCCGCCCCTGCTAGAGAAGGGGCTTCCCTACGCAGGATGCCCGGTAGGCTATAGACGAAATACTATAGGGTTACAAAATCTTCTCGATGGTCTGGCGCCCCATGGTCTGCAGGCTCAGATATAGGAGTTTGACCAAACCATCTGCCATGGCCTCCCCATAGCGCATTGCGCTCTTCTTCATGGCGCGATGCAGGGTTTAGGATGGAACCCTAAACCCTAAACCCTAAACCCTAAGCCACTTACCAGAAGATCCAACAGAGCTCAGACCGAACCGAAGCTCTATCTTCGGGGCCCCTGCTTGAGGGCCACATGAGACATTGAGATATCACTCCTGGAGTTGGGGCCCTTTGAAAGCCATCTGAGAAAATATTCTTGAAGATCATCCTCTTGATTTTAACCAAGTCAGGGGACACATATATATGTATGTATGTATGTATGTATATATGTATATGTATGTATATATATATATATGTATATAGAATATCCCAAGCGACTACCAAAAGCTAAGGCTAGGTGTAGGGGCCAGAAATGAACCTTTTCAGGTCTAGCATGGGCGTCTCTAGCTCAGCACATCATCTGCCAGAACTGTCACTTCTTGGTATTGCCTGCAAGCCTGTTGCCAAACAAAGGCTTGAGCAAATAGTCCTGAGGTCATAGGCTTGAGGTAATTTAGAGGGTGTACATCCCAAGCCTTGGAACCCCAAAAAGACAACCCAAAACCCCCCAACCCCGAACCCTAAACCCTAAACCCTAAAACCAAAACCCCTAAACCCTAGTTGGCACTCAACTCCCGAAGACCCCTCGACGGCAAGATGCGAAGCCAGGTCAAGTTGGCGCTGCCGTCGCCCGACACCGAGAGGAGCTCCCGACCAGCTAGACTCCTCCACAGGGTGCCTAGCTGTGCTGAGGGGTTTAGGGTTTAGGGTTTAGGGTTTAGGGTTTAGGGTTTAGGGTAAACTGC